AAAGTAGGAAACAGCAGTGGGATGGATGTGCTTTGATGTACAGCATTGTAGACATGGCCTTTCTCTCTCCTTTCTCCATGTCCTTCTGTGACACTGCTCACATTTGTTTGTGCCGTGGATAGGACAGTCTGGCAAACACCTGCAGGTGAGGGGTCCTTGTTTGGTTTGCAGAGCATTCACCCACCCACGCTGTACATTTACAACTCTCATTTGTGTCTGCATAGCTCCTGCTCTGTGAATGCACAGTGGAAGCAACAATAATCAGTTACTCATGATGATACATTGACAGTGTATTTATTTATGGCTTTATCATTAATGAAGTGGATTTGCAGAACCCATGGATTTCTCTTTCCTCCCTTCCTCCTCAAGACTGTGGATGATGTAACAAATGTCAAAGTACTTTGACTGTACAAAATGTCTTGTTAGAGAAAGGTGAGCTGCAACTGCGTTTCTCTTTCTGCAAGTAAATCACGTGCTCTGAGAAAATCATTGTGTAAAAACCATAGAGACAGAACCACTTACAGAGGATGAGGAAGAGATGTGCAAGAGAAAATAAATCGTTTCAATGATGTAATGAAGGGAGAGTCTTAATTTGATCAGCCTGGAGAGTATTTTGTGGAAGACGATGGTGAGTAGAAGAACTAGATCCCATTGCTTGTGGCCAATGTTCTACTGCCAGTTTTAAAATGGGAGCCAGCCAGGCTTGTGCTAGCTACAGTAACAGATATTAGAACTGCTTTAGTGATGCATTTCCAGGGGAAAACACACCTTTCTCCCCTGCTGCAACAGTGCCAGTCCCAGCACTCTGCCCTCCTGGTGAAGGGCTGCTGTGCTGCTTGCGCAAGCAGAGGAGGGCACTGAGCCTGAGCTGCTTTTTGAAGCCTGGCGTTTCTCCTGTAGCATGGAGTTTGGTTAGAACCATGAGAGCCAGATGGAGTGGTGTATTTGTATCCATATATAAATGAGAAATACAAAAGAAGAGGAAGACATGGTAGGGTTTGTGTATTTGTGCTTCAAGTTGGTGTCTCTTGTAAGTGTTGAGCATGTGAGATTCACACATAAGTTAATTACGTGGCCCTTTGTGTTTGCTCTTGGACCTATCACGTAGACTAGAAAAGCATTTAGCATTACATAGGATGTGCCGTCACCAGTGCATCAGCACATGGGCTCGATGGTGAGCACTGTTCATCCAGGTCAGGTGCAGCAGCCCAGGATGCCAACAACCAGCTGGAGTGTGTCAGGCTCAGAGGTAACTCTCAAGTGGCCTTTGAAACCTTGTCTCTGCCGGGTATGCACCGATATCCCAATTGCTGATGGATCCCTGAGGTCTCCCCCACAGCCTCCTACACGTGTGGGAAAGGAAGAAATGAATTATGCCCACACACAAATATTTATCTGACCTGGCTAGGAAATGGAAAAGCAAGCAGGTATTTCCTGCATCTGCCACAGTGTTTGGCCTCGTTACCTGAGATTTTATTTCCCTTACATGTGCTGATTCAGTCATACTTTGCAATGGGTGAGAAGGAAAAATTCTTGGGAAAGTAGATTAATAAAACATCAAACCTGTCTAACTAGCAGTTACAGAAGTCAGTCCTTGGAAGATACTCAGCAAAAGCTTTGAGGAGCTAAGCTTGTGCATTTTATTTTTAAGCAGCTTTGGAGTTTATTTGATTTCTTTTGGCAAACATTAAAAAGAAATAAAAAACCCCCAAACAACCTGCCTGCACTGTTAGCAGAAAATAAAATCCTGTTGCAAGCAAGCCATGTTTCCCTGCTATGCAATGGGCTGCTGTAAAATAAAAAAGAAGCTGACAAGTTTGCACTCAATTATGCCAAATAACCCCAACAACATAGAGCTGCATAACATCTGGCAAGTTCTAATCTCAGACACTGTATTAACATTGATTCTCACTAAAATTAATACATGTGTGTCTAATCTGCTGTTTTACTGTAAACTTGACTGTTTAGCATTTCTTAAGTGCTGAGGTGAAATGTTGACAAGGGAGCTGCCTTATATCTCTCAAAACATTCACTGTATAAACGAGAAAAATAAACCTTTTCATATCTCTGGCAAAAATGTATGAATTCCTCCTCAACGGAGCTGTACATTTGTGTATAGATAGACAGACATGTGAATGCCTGACCACATGCACTTGTGCTGTAGTGTTCTGTGTAGATGAGAACAGCCATTCGCTTTGGATTCCTCATCTTCCTCACACAGGTTGTTTACAGGTGTTGCCCCAAGTCTGACATTTCACGCTTTGGCTATGTGCGTTCCTTCCGAATAAACAACACCCGCGAAGTCTTTTGTTCCAGCTTTTCTCTGGGGTCTCTGCCGAGGAACCAGCCCGATTCGGCGAGTCGCTTTCTTGCGCTGATGCTGACCCCTCCCGGCAAACCAGGGCGTGCAGGACCAGGGCAGGGAGAGGAGAAGGAAGGGATGGATGGATGGATGGATGGATGGATG